AAATCTATAAGCAATTTGTGCTTGTTTTTAGACTAAAAATTTAACTTGATTTCCAGTTTATATGCCTCTATTCACCCTTACTAAAGAAACCTGCATTAAAAACCGCCAAGCATTTCGCTCAGTGTAAAGAAGCCAAGTCAAATCACGCACTTATCAACTAAGGTATCTAAACTTCCTTAAGCCAAGAAAACTTTTAGCTGTCATTTGCGCATTTGATGCGGAATAAGATGAGAGTTGATAGCGAGAATTGGCAAGAAAAGAAAAAGCGTACGAGTAGGGGTATTCCTGCAGCTAGCGCACGAGTAGGGGTATTCCCGCAGCTAGTTAAGCCACCAATTTATTTAGTGGTGCGTGCAGAATTGCGGTTATAATTTTAATGTTATTGTTAGCCGCGACACAAACAGACTCAAACACACACACACACATACATACACACACTCTTTAACCACTTTTCCCACAACAACAGCAGCGATAAAGTATATGAAAAGAAGCGAATTAACAAGTGAAACGGAACGTGCAACAGTCGCTGTTGTTGCATTGTTGCATTGCTGCATTGTTGCAATGTKCTGTGTGCTGTGTGTGATTTTGTGTACGCGCTTCGTTTGCAAGTGGCAACCGCAATTTAATTAAGCCAACAAAGCCGGCGACCAAGGCGAAGGGTGCAAGCGGCAGTTAGCCCGGCCAACATCATTATGAGCCACCGGCAGCAACGACTGATAGACACATATGCGAGGAGTGGTGGTGCCATGCGGCACATAGACATGGCCACTGCCGCTGACCGCAAAAGAGTGCACTGAGCGAAATCGGTGAGACCCATTCGAAGGTCTAATTACGTTGGAGCCAAAAGTTGGCCTAGAAAAAATTGGGAACAACTTTATTTAATACTAAATTTTACTTAAAGTAAGGCAACATGGAAGTTGCTTTGGTAGGACGTGCCTGACTAGCAAATACTCTACAAGAGATATCTAAGGTGTGGAATTTATATCATTTTTTTTTTTTTGTACTTCAGAATTTACATGGCAATTACATATTTATTTTTTTTTAGTTATTAGAGTTATGCTCACGAAGGTTTAGGTTAGGTCTAAAAATACTTCATTTCATTTCGCTTTCCTCCTCAGTTAAACAAAATCAAAGCCAAAATTTGTATTTCCAGTTATTCAACCTAGTTTCGCTCAGTGCATTCATTCTGGCCTTTTGACTTGCTGTCGTCAGCTCTTTTGAGCCACAGTGGTTGCCGTGGACGCTGTCACTCTGCCAGCTCCACTTGAATGCCT